AAAAAATCATGCCTTGTTTTTCTGAAACCACACCTAGCATTTTGTCCACTTTTTGGACCTTGAGTTTAGCGTGCGATTAATAGTCTCTTAAATCTGGTGAGGATAGTTACTAATTATTTAGTTTACTTTTTACCTTCTCGAATTCTTTCCATAAAAAAGTTGTGATATAATTACTTCTAGCTTTGTAACTAACGTAATTCATTTCATGAACTAAAATCATAGAGAATATCCTTGCAACTATAGAATGAATTTTGTCAATTGAATTGTGCTTATTCGATTGATAGACATTTTAAATTATGCCACAGAATATGATCGTGGCAGCATTTCACTATAATCAAGCTACATGGCTTTATGTAAATGCAAATTTAACAGTAAACACGCATCTATACACTGATTTTGTCTAGATTTTATATTTATCGAACTTCCTCAAATATACATGTGTTGTCTGCATGAGTGCTTCATTTTGGCACTTGCATTTTTCCTCTAGTCTACTTTTATCACTTTCTTCCTACAATTATTGCATTGTCAGTTGGGTTCTGCCTCTTTGAAAGAATCTAATGCATTTCATGCACCATAACATTTATATATTGTTTTCGGCCATTTCAGGATGTTTGATTATTAATCTTTTAGACTAGGTAGGACGAACTTAAAGCACAATATTGGTCTGTAGTCTGCAAGTTTTCATAGACATTTTCTGGCAAGTGGATATTTGTTCATGCTTATACTGAATTAGAAAATTCCACTCTTTTCTGCTGCCGGTCTTCCCCATAATGAAATAGCTGCTCAGATCTGTCATCAGGCTGGTTTAATGAAGCGTTTGTAGAAATTTGATAATCTTCTTGGGGTATATTGATCGCCAAAATAAATATTTTACGTCTAAAATATTAGTAAATTTACATACTCTACATGCTATTTGGCTTAGCTGGAGAAAAATTATCATATGCATACTTCAACAATCCCCGTCAATCATCATATCTGTTGCTTTTCACTTTGTATGAGTGCGCCTGTTGGGATGGAAGATTGCATGGAAAGAATATGAGGAAAAATGAGGAAGGAAAGGAAAATTCATCGAAAAGTGAATGCAAAGTCCTAAAGATACATATCATTTTAAATTCCTAAAAATGTTGTTCCCGTCACATCTTTCATCCATCAAACAAAAAATGAGAGAAAGATTAGCCTTTCCTTTCCCTCCAAAAGATGGAATGGAGGTTGAAAATTGTTTTTGTCACACCATTAGCTTCCGCTTTCCCGCCCTTACAAACATAACCTATGTGTTTGATTTTGATGCTTAGAGACTGTTTGGGAGTGATTTTGAGAATTGATTTTTTGATCGTTAAGAGAAAAGTGGGGTCTACATATGAGAGAAGAAGTCAAATATGACCGCTGGAATAGTGAAATAACAGTAAAAAAATCAATTTGTTTGGGGGAAAATTCACTCCCAAACAGGCTCTTAGTAAAACAATAGAACCACAAATACCATTACTTTGGGTTAGTCTTATCACTTATTCAAGCATATGTATGGTATTTTCATATTATGCTGAGGTATTAATTTAAAATTGTTGGAAATGTTTCTCTTTCTTGCTGGAAGAACATATTTTCAGGCCTAAAATGTAGAATAGTATTCTTATCATATTAGTTGTTAAGCATTAATTTGGCCTTATCAACTTTTTCTTTTAACCTGAAAGTTTCAGGAATTTCCTATAAACCTGCATCTTCTCCATATTTGCAGTTTCTGGTGGGATTGACTCTTATCAGTAGAGTAATTTACGCTCCCAGTAACAAAAACAGTTCTCATGCCTCTAATATGTGACTCTGGTTTTCTAAAGAAGATTTTATGTTCTTTGATTAATTTAGGTGATTGAATCTATCTCGAAATGATTCTCATGTTCCCTATTTTAATGCTACATGAGGAGGAAGATGACAATTTTGCAATTGTTTTTGCGGCTATGGGAGTCAACATGGAGACAGCTCTGTTCTTCAAACGTGATTTTGAGGAAATCGGATCTATGGAGAGAGTGACCATTTTCCTTAACCTGGTAATTATGTATTGATGTTATTTGGCTCTGCAAAGTGACTTGTTTCTTTTAACATGAATCCTAGGTGAAGGAGGTGACATTTTCATTTGTTTTGAAAACTATTTATGTAGGCCAATGACCCAACAATAGAACGTATCATTACTCCTCGTATTGCTCTGACAACTGCAGAATATTTGGCATATGAATGTGGGAAGCATGTTCTTGTCATATTGACAGATACGAGTTCTTATGCTGATGCTCTTCGTGAGGTAATGTTTGCTTATAGTACTCTGCTTTCTGGGGAATAACATTTTTGGGTTCATCTCTAAAGAGGTATCAGACATGGGAGTTTTAATGAAACTAGATCTTATTATGATTATTTATCAAAATGGAGTTTTTGGTGAATCTTTGTTCAAGTACTTTTTCAAGACCATTGGTATCATGCAAAGAATGGATTTTTCACCATAGGTGTCTGCTGCCCAAGAGGAAGTGCCAGGAAGACGTGGGTACCCTGGTTATATATGTACACCGACTTGGCAGCAATCTATGAGAGAACCGGTCGTATTGAAGGGCCAATGATGGTATCACTTATTCACATTAACTAGCATTTTTTTTGTCCTTGGTCAAATTCACTAGTCAGTCTGATTTTTTTGTTTCTCTGTAATTGTCAGATATTACACTTCCAACTCCAGATCTTACAGGTTATATGACAGAAGGACAGATATATATTGACAGACAACTTCATAATCGTCAGGTAAATATTTTTACATGAAATAAATTAGTTCTGAGTTGTTAAACACGATCCGTAGTATCTCATTGAACCTTTAGGCCGATGTCTTGTTTTAAAATTAGTGTCATTAACACATTTGATGATCCTTGTAATATACTGTGAAGAACTTTGTAGTAGCAGGTATTTGAGCCGTAAATCAATTATAAGCACCATCTCTCTTATTGGGCTATTATTTTTCCTGAGTAGTTTTTAATTTTGGATATGGTTCAAGAGCACGACTTTGAAGGCGAAGTTATGTCTGATAAACATGAAAAATTTCTTGGATTGCTGAGTAACACGTCCACCCACAATATTCAGAAAGATGGCTCTTAACAATTTTAAATTACAGCAGTGGATTTATTGTTAAATATATGATTCTCTTCTGCAGCATTCTTTCTCCTCGATAGTTATAAAGTATTCTTATGGGTACAAATTTGCCAGAACACAAAGTTGTCTGTTACCCTCCAATCAATGTGCTTCCATCCTTGTCACAGCTATATCTCGAGTTTCTTGACAAGTTTGAGCGGAAATTTGTCACAAGAGGGGCCTACGACACCCGCAACATATTCCAGTCGCTTCTCCGTATTTTTCCGTAGGACCTCCTTCACCGTATTCCAGTGAAAACACTGATCAATACTACAGCAGGGAATGGGATGCATCTAATTGATGAGAAAAGGGACATATCTTTTTATTCTTTCTGTTCGATTGCCTTGTGGCATGCACTGCCGATATGTCCTTCGACATTCATTTTCTTTATCCGGTTTAATAATAAAAGTCGAGTTTTAAACGAAAGACTTAGAGAAACCAAGGCATGCAGAAGTTGAAGATATTCATATTCTTTCGATGGGTATTCTTATAAATTATTATGTCAATCTCTACTTAAGTAGCGGATTTTTTTGGAACTTTTGTTAGCTTCGACAATTTTTTTCAGTGCTGCTTTTACTGCCTCTGTGTTATTAATAATTGTTACTATGAAACTAGTATTTTATGATCAAATGGGAAGTTCAAACATATAACTCCTGTTTGAGTTTTATTTTATGGTAGAAACAAGTTTTGTTATAGCTACTTTTCTGAGAATGTATGATTAAAAATCAAGAAAAAAGATTTGAATCTGCGTGTGAAATTATTTTATTTAAAGAATGTGTAATTGAAAATGAGTTTAAAGATGAAGTTGTTTTTGAAAAATGGCACTCAAATAAGGGCTTAGAGATTTTCGGAATGCATTGGACAGAAATAGCAAGTATTAGTTTGACTACTTTTACTTGTGTTTCCTTTTCCCTTGTTTGTGTCTGATAAGTTACTCTCTATTTTACCTACCATGCCAATGCACTTATTTAATTTTTTGCACCTCCCCTCCCCCCCCTCCCCCTCGAAATCACTATTTTTGCAAATTGGCACATAAGTACGCACTGAAACCCTACATGCCATGCGTTGGTTGTGATGAAGACTTGAATTTATCAAATAAACAAAACTACCCCCCAAGTCAAATATTTATAAAGAATAAAAAATATAAGGGAAAGAAAATTAGATTGCTAGTTTGTTGCTTATGCTATTCTGAAATTTCGAATTGGAGGGTTAATTTCTCTTCGGAG